TTAGTTATTTACTAAGAGGATACGGCATTAATGTGCATCTCGCCCTCGTTTGTGAAATCAAGCACTTGTTATTGCTGGTCCGGATCTAATATGTCTATTGCGAAGAAAATAAATGTGCTGACTGATTGGCAAATGGTGGCTTTTCTCTACCGATGGGTCTCCACTCTCATGTTTAAGTACCAAATGATCTCCAATAGCTCCTCACTAACAATATCATTGGTGTCTCTTGGTCCTGAATGTGCATGATAATTTTTTAATTTTCTTTTCACTTTTGCCTCTCCTTGTACTAAAAAAAAATTTTTTTCTACATGCAGGATGTCACAATCTACCCCCCTTAAGAAATTTGTCTCCAAATTTTGAAACTATCCAAATATCCTTAAAATTCTAACATATGTACCTTTATATCCTGAACCGACTAAACATTTCTAAAAATATTTCAAATCATTAAATTATTGTAATAAATTAAAAGACATTAAAGCAAGAAATATTATTTATTAATTTTTAAAATAGATTACATCTTATAAGATCTATCATTTGGAGGATTAAATACAACTGTTTTGTTGAAGTAATTCAAGGTGCCATGATAGGCGGATAATTGGTCCATGCCTAAGAGTACGTCAAATTTAGGAAGTCTAGGAGTATAAGATCCACAGATAGTTCCCTACCTACATCCTTAACCCTACAAGCTTTGTATACTAGATTGGATATAATGATATCACGTGTGGTTGTTTCTACTAACAAAGTCTTATCTAAGGATACTAGTTTAAAAACTTCTTAGCAAAATCAACATATACAAAAGAATCATTAGCACCTGAAGATATCAAAGAGGGAAAAGGTGTGTGGGAGAAAGAATGATAAAAGGAGAGAAGATCTCGTCCGCCAAGCGGGACAGAGTGCGACCCCTAAGCAATTGGAGGTTCTCGCTCATCTCTTGGGGGTCCATATCATCTTCAAACTTTTCCTCTTCCATTAGCATAGCTAAATTTGAAGAGGATGACTCAGCGTCAGGAAAAGTAAGCCCCCCTTTGCCTTGATTGAATTTGGCTTCGCTGCGCCCTGAATCAATCAAAAAGCTTATTGATTTGATTCATCCCATTTCATTTGGGCGAGAGGGAGGCTGTGAGTCACCCGGGCTACGGATTTGTCGGTTGGTTGATTCTCTAAATCTCCTCTTGAGAAAAAAAAAGGCCCTCGGGTCCCGACCCACAAATGAATAGGAAGCGAGGCGAGGGTCTTTCATTAAAGGGGGAAAAGAGGGGTGGGGCTTTGTTCTGGGGGGCCGCCTTTCGCAGCTTTAGAAAGGAGAGAATTTCATAAAGTCACTCTCTCCAACCTTTTCTATCTATCTTTAGAAGCTTTGTATACTAGATTGGATATAATGATATCACGTGTGGTTGTTTCTACTAACAAAGTCTTATCTAAGGATACTAGTTTAAAAACTTCTTAGCAAAATCAACATATACAAAAGAATCATTAGCACCTGAAGATATCAAAGTGTGTGCAAATAAATCAGAAATAGATAGCGTACCTTCAATGACTGTAGGTGTAGCCTCAATATCAAGCTCTATCATAACATAAACACGTCCATTGGTGGGCAGTCTACGAACTCCCTGAGGATAGTCTTTTGGATAGTGGTCAGGCTTGCCACACCAAAAGCAAACATTGTTCACCTTGTAGCAAGGACGATCACCGTGCTTACCCTCACAATGTCCACGGGATCTTGACCAGAAGTAGTACCTGATGGAAGTGGTGGTGGTGAAGCAAGAAAAACATGGGGACACTTGTCCACAGGACCGTGCTGAATTGGATGTGTACTCTTCAAATCATGAGGAGCTTGAGAACTGTTTGTACGATGGAACCTACCAGAAAGGAGCTCTTATACGAGATGAGCATGCTCAAGGACTAAGGCATAAGTGGTTAGCCTAAGCATGGGCACCTTATCTTAGATATCTGCCCTCAATCTTGAGGAAATGTTTAGCTCTCTGGCCTCAGTAAAGACCAACTATGGTTCAAACTAAGATAAATGAATGAAACGAGCTGCATAGTGGCTCACAAAAAGACCTCCCTGGCGGAGATCTTAGAACACTTCTTTTTTCTCGCAAACCCAAGTAGGAAAAATGTTCTGGTAGAAAGCCTCCAAAAAGTGTGCCCAAATAGTAGGAGTAGGCAACAGATCTCTCTTCAGCCTCCACTAATGTTCTACTTCTCCAATCAGGACAAAAGCAACAAGAGGAACTTTCTGCTTCTCAGTCATCTCTAAGACAGAGAAAATCTTCTCAATTTGCATCCCCTAACGCTTGACGATCATCGAGTTAGTACCGCCCTCAAAATGGAAAGAATTGAGCTTATGGAAATCTAAGATATCACTGCAATGGTCCGGTTGCAGCGAATATGATCTTCAGGACAGAGATGATCATCATTATGATGCAACTAAACTAACTGGGTCATGGTACCAACCATACTCTGGACAACTATGAATCGTTTTGAGGAACTCAGCCCTGGCGGGACCCTCATCAAGACGTTCAACAGATTCCTCTCTTCCTCGTGTCATACTGCACACAAGGAAAACAAGACTTAGAGACATATAGAATATCTTTAAAAATGACTAGGGTTTCAAGTACTCAAACAAATGACATCCTATTTTAAGAGTACCTAAACTCTAAGCCTTAATAATATGGGATGTGTCCTAGAACCTATTGCTTTGATACCACCTGTAACGTCTTGGTGTCAACTTGACACCCACATCTGAAGAGCAAATAATAATCTATCTAGAGTACAACATAAATATACATCTCATGCAAAAAGTTACTCAAAAACAACTGAGGCGTCTGATTATCAACAGAAATATACAGGGTTTGATAATCTATTTATTTACAACCTCTGAAATATAATCATCCCTACTTCCTCATGTCAATCCCACGAGCCTCTAAAATACAAAATACAAAAGATCAGAAGACAACTTCCAAGAATCCCTCTCTAGCTCCAAAGTCTCTTTGAAGAAATATAAACACGGATTCGTTAGTAAACCTGTCAGATCAACATAAGAGTTTGGAAGGGGGTGAGCTCCAATGAACTCAATAAGAGAAACAGTATTAAAGCCTCACAATTATGTTTGAAAACATAATTATATACATTTCTACAATTCTTTTATCATATTACAGACAAACAACAAACAATCATATCAAAGCAATCAACTTACATGTACTTGATACCGATATCTGTTGAGAAACCGTTGTTGATGTCCCCCATTAAATCATACAAATGCCCCTCAAAGTGCTCAACCTCAATCATAAGCAAATACAAACACAAGCAAACACACGCACACAGACTAACTCTTCTTTTTAAGTCTTTTACATTCTTTTATTTAGCTTAACTGTTGTCATACCTACGTGTGCAACCGTTGTCATCTATTTCCTGGGAGCCAGATATAGGACAACTAACCTACTACGTGAATGGGTGCAGATGCAGATAACATAGAACTGACGTGCAAATAAACCATTCAAAATCCATTCAGGTCGCAAACTCTCAAAATTCACTCGAATTGTCGTAGCCCATGCCCCTGGTCGTGGGTATGAACTGCATTTAGTTCGTAAAGGATCCTAAACAAACAGATCTACCATTCACTGCCTAGAAATTGGCTCCTCAGATAAACAATACCCCCAGAAAATTAGATACAACGGATTTAAGTGGACTGCTAGATTGATTAAGTCTTAGACTTCAATTATTTATTTTCTTTCAATGAAATTACACTAACTTTGAGTTAAATTAAAACCTAAAAATCTCAATTAAATCCCTAATTCCAGTTTACAAATTTTTACAGATAAAATCCACACATGCAATATTTCCATCTTTCTTTTCCTAATTTCTTTCTTCTAATTTTACTGTTTAAATTCTAAATTTCACTTTTAAATAAAACCAATTATTTATCTAAAATTAGATTTTGAAGAACTCCTTAAAAGGGGAATTTCTTTCCTCAACCTGCAAAAGGGAATATTTTCCCGCACCTGCACTCGCGGTCAGACCCGCATGCCTGCATAGTCCCTTAGCACACACATGCCTAGCGAACCTGCACAGCGCCCTTGTCCTGCTACGCACAGCAGCACGCCCATGGGGTATGTGTCCAGGTGCACGGACGCCCAGACGCATGTCCAAGCACGCACAGCGCGAATAGCACACTCGGTGCCTATCCCAGGGCCCTCTGGGCACGCACAGTGCCTGGTTGAGCCCGGTCTCCAGCGCGCGGCGTGTAGCGCGTATGCAAAGTGTCAGAGGACATGCCCCGGCACTTGGCGTGCCAGGACAACACCCTGGGTGCACTCACATGCACAGCAGAAGACGTGCTGCCCATTTTTATCGGCGCTTATAAGCCTAGGCATGCACAGCAAAAAGCCTTGGCCTTCTCCCAACGATTCCATCACCAGTTCTTCAATTTTATCCATTTATGATTACTTAAGACAATACTAGACATGATAATCCATCATTGTAAACACAAAGCAGCAGACATTAAACATAATTACATCCTTTAATTCACTCAAATATGCATGAATAGATTCATGGTTTCACTTTCATAAACACAGCAACCAATTCGAGTTTATATGCACAAATAACCGTTCAGATGCTCTACAAAATTTTATACTTATAATGATTAGACTATCATTCCTCTTACCCTCAAATGCGCGAAGAATTTGTTGGAAATTCAAAGATTCGTCACTCACAGCCTCTGTCTAGAAATAGCCTGAGTGTGGAGTAGTTTTGCTTTCGGTTCTCCCTCAATACAGAAGGATTTTGTTCGATTAATATGTCAAAAATTTTCTAACGCCTAAGGCTATTACTCTGTAAATTTTCATGATTTTTAAAAATCATTTAAGTGTTCAATTGATTAAAAAACCAAAGTATTAGGGAAGACGCTACTCACCGAAGTTGCATGCAGGATCAGTCGGTGGTTGGGGAATTTTTTCTCCTTCTAGGATAATCTGTTTGCCCTGATTCTTGATTCTAAATATTTGTTAGATGTGGCTCTATAATTTCACAAAATTTTAGAATTTTCTATGAATTCTTAAGTTATAAACAAAATGGATAAAATTAAAACAGAGGTCACACCATACATACCTGAGCTATTGGTGTTCGTCCTTGGATATCTCCTTCAAGGAGAAAGCTTTTAGTCCTCTGTTTTTGCTGAAACTTAGCTAAGATATAACCATAAACACTCACCAAATTTCGTAATTTTTAACGTTCTTTAGTCTACGAAACGATTAGAGAAACTGTGAGAGGATGAAGATGCCACACGAAGCAAGTCTGCTTCACTTCCTCTCGGGTCTGCTATCTTTTCTTCTCTCTAGTTCACCTCATGGGTCTGTTATCTTTTCTTCTCTCTCGTTTGCTTCTTTTCTCTCTTTGTTCTCTCTGTTTACTGAATGGTTCAATGGAGGAAATGAAGAAGAAGAATGACACATTAAGTGGCTTTTAAATTCTCTCCATGGAAAGATCAAGGCCGCCTGATTGCATGCAAGCAACTGGGGCCCTTGATGCATCAAAGTGGCCAGCAGCAGCTTAAGGGAAGAGCTGGGTTGCGACAGCTGGCAGGTTCAGTCTCCACAGCAAGGTGGTTAGAACTCCACCACAAGCTTTCAGCTTGGTGGTGTCAATTCGATGCCCAGCAGCAAGGCACGCACATTTCTCCCTTCCCTTTTCCCATTTTTATTTTAGAAAAAAATAATAATTTATTAATTAATTACTTTCTTATTTGATTTAAAATTTTGTTTTCTACATGTTTTTATGTGACCCTAGGAGGGCGTTTCAATTATCCAGAGGCAACCATCAGATTTCACACCAATTCGAAAACAAGACCCAGGAGAAGTCTGGACCAAAAAAACAGAGTTGAGATTCGACGATAAAGCCCAACTCTATGAAGCCCAATGATCCAATTCATGCAAGGTTAAATCAGGTCAGATGGATCATCAATGCCATCAAGACTGGGAAGCCTTATGAGGCCGCTGAGCCAACTGTCCCAAAAAAGCATCAACAATGACGAATTGTGGGCTTTCGGATTGATCCTAGAAGGCGAAGAAGGCGTGTCCGAAACAATGTAGGGAGAGGAGGTGCCTGCAGGCGGGCGACCCGAGTCACCCAGCCCGCTAGGCCCAACTCGCAGCCTAGCAAGCCGCACACCCGAGAAAAATATGTGGCCCATGTCGCACGCCCCTGCAAGTGGGCCGACTGAGGCCCATGGGGAAGGCCTGAAGACTGGCCCACATCAGGCTGATTTGGTGGATTCGCAACCGAGGGAGGAGAAATCGAGCCGAACGCTTGGCCCAGAGTAGACGTGGGCCCAGCAACAACCGTGGGCCCAGCTAAGGTGGAACCTGCGCAGGCCGCAACCTGTAAGGCTCGAAGGTTGTGCGCGAGGGCGCACAACCTAAGCCACGCGCACGTGCGCGGGCTTTCCTAACCCGGATGAGGTTGAGATGTAGTAAGTTTTTTTGAATTTTTTTTAAGTGACCCATATGATTTTTTTCAGCCCAAAATTTTCAAAATTCACATAGTAATTATCACTTTATATTTTATTATTATTATTTAAATTAAAAATTAATTATATAATATTTTAATCTTACAATTATCTTAAACTATTATTTTATTATATTTTTAATCTTTATTATTTATCATATTATTTTAACATAATTTTCACATTTTTTTTACATGAATTTTACATAGAATAAGTATGAACTTATTTTATTCATTATTTTATTATAATTCTATTCTTTAAGATTATTTAATTAATTTATTTGTGATATAATAATTATTTTATTATATAATTATCTTATATTAAGATAAAATTTTATTTAAATTATTATTTTATTAATTATTTCAAAAATTTTGTATTTATCTAAATTACTCAAAAAATATTATAAATAATTTTTTTTTTCTATGATGTAACAATAATTTTTTTAAAATAAATTTGAGAGAATTTTTGAGAGATTTAATTTTTTTACTAAAATTAATTTATTCAAATTTTTCTCGGAAAATGAAAGTTTTGTTGAACCAAGCATGAGGATCAACTTATTGATAAGTCGTTGTATTTTTAATTTTTTTATTTTTTTTTATTAAAATTATAGATTCAATTAGAATGAAAAATTTAATTCTAAACGGTTATTATTACGGTATTAACTAAATTTCAAGGAAAAGAAAAGGATAAACTGTAAACGTAACCGAAAAAGATATGTCGGGACCTTTTGCGGATTTTCAACAACATGATGAAAATCAATTCATCGAATTTTCAGAAGATTTTATGAGCTAGAAAATTTATCTCTACGGCTTCTTTCGCCTATAAAAGGATTAGTTCAAGCGAAGAAGTGCAAGGTGAGAGGGGAAGAAAACAGATAGTGGTGGGTGGCGAATGGCGAATGGCGAATGGCGAGTGGTAGACAAAAGTGGCCAGTAACCAACGAGGCATAGAGGACGAGTGGTTAGGGAGCAAATGGCGGCCAAGGTGGGGCAGAAGGTGATTGGTGGCCGGTGGAAGACAGTTGGTAGGGAGCAGAAGGCAATTAGTTAGTGGTGGAATGCGATCAGCATGTGAGAAGTGACGCGCGACAGACGACGGACTAAGCACAATGGGGTTATTGACAAATGGTAGACGTTGGAGAATGGGTGATGTTAGTTCTACCCCATTCCCATCAAGAAGAAGATAAGGAAAAGTTGTACACCCAACTGGAAAAGATATGTCAGTGACCTCTTGCGGACTTTCAGAGGCATGGTAAAAATCAATTCACCGAATTTTTAGAAGATTTTCTGGGCAGGAAAATTGATTTTGACAACTTTTTTTCCTTATAAAAGGAGAAGTCTTAAAGCAGAGAAGTGCAAACCGAGATGAGAAAACAATATATAGTGTTGGGTGGTGAACTATGAGTGGCAGACAAAAGTGACCAGCAACTTGCGAGGGATAGAAGACGGTCAAGGGGCGGATGACAGCCAACAAGGAGACGAAGGCGGTTTGTGGGCGGTGGAAGACAACTAGTAGTGAAAAACGATTAGTTTGTGGTGGAATGCGATCAGCATATGAGAAGTGACATACACTGGATGGCGGACTAAAGAAAATAGGGGCTAAGGAAGGGCTGACGTTGGAGAATTGATGATTTTAGTTTTAATCACCATGAAAAAGAAGATCAGGAGAAGTTGTACACGAAACCGGAAAAAATATATTGGTGATCTCTTGCAGATTTTCAGCAGTATGGTGAAAATTAATTCACTGGATTTTTGGAAGATTTTCTGGATAGAAAAATTGATTTTTACGGTTTCCCTCGTCTTTAAAAAGAGAAGCTTTGAAGCGGAGAAATAAAAGCAGACAAACAGTTGTGGGTGGCGAATGGCGAGTGGCAGACAGAGGTAACTAGCAACCAGCGAGTGATAGAGGACGAGTATTCAAGAGACGAATGACAGCTAACGAGTGATATAAGGCAGTTGGCTGGAGGTGGAAGACAGTCGGTAATGGGCAGAACACGATTAGTTGGTGGTGGAATGTGATCAGCATGTGAGGAGTGATACGCGATGGACGATGGGCAAAGACAATGGGGCGACTGACAAAGGCTGGACGTTAGAGAATGGGTGATGGTAGTTTCAGCCATCACCATCAAAAAGAAGATAAGGAGAAGCTGTAAACGTAACCAAAAAAGATGTTAGTGATATTTTACGAATTTTCAACAGCATGGTAAAAATCAATTCACCAGATTTTTGGAAGATTTTTTGTGCAGAAAAATTGATCTTCACGGCTTTTCTCGCTTATAAAAGGAGAAGCCTTAAAGCGGAGAAGTGCAAGTCAAGATGAGAAAAAAGCAAATAATGATGGGTGGCGAATGGCAAGTGGCAGACTAAGGTGACCAGCAACCAGCAAGTAGATAGAGAACGGGCGGTCAGGGGGCAGATGACGGCCAACGAGAGGCAGAAGGCGGTTGGTGGGCAGTGGAAGACAACTGGTAAGGGGCAGAAGGCGATTAGTTGGTGATGGAATATGATCGGCATGTGAGGAGTGACGAGCAATGGATGACGGATTAAGGGAATAAGGCGACTAACAAAGGGTAGACGTTGGAGAATGGATGACGTTAGTTTAAGCTCGTCACCATCAAGAAGAAGATAAAGAGAAGTTGTATATTTTGCATATTTTTACCTGACTAGTGAAAAGAAAATTTATTCACTGAATTTTTTGAAAGTTTGATCTTCACTGCTTCCCTCGCTCATAAAAGGAGAAGCTTTGAAGTGGAGAAGTGTAAGCCGAGAGAAGAAGAAAGTCAATAGTGGTAGGTGGCGAATGAGAAATGACATACAAAAGTGACCAGCAATTAGCGAGGAGTTGAGGATGGGTGGTAAAGAGGCGGATGATGGTTGGTGGCAGTGGAAGACAGTTGGTAGGGGGGCAGACGATGGTTAATTGGTGGTGGAATGCACATAAGGAGTGACGCACGACATACGACAGACTAAGGGCAACTGATAAATGGCAGATGTTGGAGAGTGGTCTGTGTTAGTTCTAGCTCATCACCATCAAAAAGAAGATAAGGAGAAACCTGTACACGCAATCGAAAAAGATATGTGAGTGACCTCTCACAGATTTTGAACAGCATGGTTAAAATTAATTCACCGAATTTTTGAAAGATTTTTTGGGTGGTAAAATTAATGTTCACGGCTTCTTCTCGCCTATAAAAGAAAAAACCTTAAAGTGGAGAAATGTAAGCCGGGAGGAGAAAAAAAAGCAAAAGAAAAAGAAAGAGAAGAGTCAATACGTGTGAAAAAAGAAAGATTAAGGGGAGAGAGAGAGAGAGAGAGAGAGAAATATATATATATATATATATATATATATACACGAAGTTGGTGACGGCATCCTAGAAAGAAAAAAAAGGGGGAGTAATTAATTATTTTCTTTAAGTAAACTCTTGTGTTTTAAGTTATTTTTCAAAAAATAGTAGCTTCTATTTTAAACCTATTAGAAGTACATATAATTTATTATCAATAAATGTTATTATAAAATTAAATGACAACAATTTAAAATTGATATTTATATTGATAAGATAATTACATTTTGAAATAATTTAAATTTTTAAATAATAATATTAACTAAATCATTTATTTATAATTAATTTTTATTATTATTGTATTCTTTATTATTTTAATATTTATTACAATGATATAACTTTTACATTAAATTTTATTAAACATTAAAAATTATCATAACAAAATATAGGTCTAACAATAGGAAACACTGATTTTCATCATGATTTTGATCGTCTTGATGAGATTTTCAATAATCAAGAATTTGTGACAGTGATTAAGAACAACCCTAAATTTAGATTGTTTACAAAATTATAAATTCTAATTATTTTACTATTTAGAAGTCTAATAACATGTTCTTAGTAATTTCCGTTTTATTTTTCTTTAGTATTTAGCTTTCGTTTTTTTATTAATATTAATATATCTTGATTATATTTTGTTTAGAAAAAGTTACTTAAAAAGCACTATGAGTACTTTACTTTGATTCTTCTAACTCATTGTGTCTTCCACATATCCAAGTTTAATCTAGTTCATGAAAATTTGGTCAGGCTGAAAATAATGTGATTTGAACAAACCTACTACAGATTCAATACAATTTATAGTATTCATAAAACTAGATTAAG